TCCTGCGACATATGCAAGGATCATGTTCGTGGACTTCAGCTCGGCATTCAACACCATCATCCCGGACATCCTCTGCACCAAAGTTAGCCAGCTCACTGTGCCAGCCTCCACCTGTCAGTGAATCACACTGGGGTGTGTGCTCTCCCCACTGTTCTTCTTACTCTACACCATCGACTGCACCTCAGGAGACCCATCTGTCAAACTCCTGAAGTTTGCTGAAGACACAACGGTCATCGGCCTCATCTGGGACAGTGATGAGTCGGCCTACAGATTGAAAGTTGATCAGCTGGCTCTCTGGTGTGGTCAGAACAACCTAGAGCTTAACACGTTCAAATCTGTGGAGATGATTGTGGACTTAAGGAGGCGCCAGCTCAGGAAGCTCAACCTGCCTAAGGAGCTGCTGATCCACTTTTACACAGCCATCATTCAGTCTGTCCTCATGTCCTCATGTCCATCACTGTCTGGTTTGGATATGCCACCAAAAAGGACGAGAGCAGACTACAACGGACAGTCAGTACTGCAGAAAAAATCACCAGTGCCAACCTGCCCTCCATCGAGGACTTATACATTTCCAGAGTCAGGAAATGGGCAGGAAACATCACTGCAGATCCATCTCACCCCGGACACAACCTGTTCCAGCTTCTCCCCTCTGGTAGGCGCTACAGAGCACTGTATGCCAAAACCAACAGAAGGTGCCTTCGAGATGATGGCGGCTGACTTTCGCCGACTTGATCGTCTAAAGAGAGCTGCAGGTGACTGCAGGGGCGGGGTATAAAAACGGCGGCGTCAAGTTGGACACATTCTACCTGCAGCAGCTTACTGTGAGCTGAGATCAATGACTGATCTCGCGGATTTTGCAAAGAAAAATATCGCGAGACCAGGCAATAGTGTGGTTCCAACTTGGTGCAGTCGGCGCCTGCAAATGCCTTGCTCCCGCAAGGTTTTGATGTCATGTGACACGGTGACGTTCTGCAGTGCCAGCGAAAGTCGGACACAATTTCTAACCAGCATGCCTTGTTTTAAGTCCAGCATGCATCACATTAAGTCAGCTCTGCACAGCGCCGCATTAAGTCAAACGCACCCAGACTCAGGAACAGTTTCTTCCCACAAGTCATCGCTCTGATGAACAGTTGATTTCTGCCTCACACAGGGGCAGCTTGTTCATTAGGGCAACCTGGCAATGCACCGCCAAGCCGGGAAAGGCAGGGGATATTTCTCACACTTTCTACCACACTGTTAGTGAGCTGTGACTGTTTTGACAGACAGTTTGTCTCTGAATATCGCTGTCCAATCAGCGTCAAGTCGTCTTCCGTGGAGTCCTGCCTCTTTTGGGGCGAATTCATTCATAAATAATACATGTAATTTGTTAAACTATGAGGAGAGGAAAAGTCCGCTAGCCACTAGGCTAATTCATGCTCTGTAAAATGCCAGAGGCTAAGCTAATAACTGTGACTGTAAGAAAATATTGATACTTATTATTAATTGCCCCCCCTGGCAGGAGCCGCCACTGGCCTCACCGTGTCATTAACAACCCCTGTGCAATAACCCAGTAACTCTGTCTCTTATCAGCCACCTGTTTACTATGTTACCACTTATTATTTATTCATAATTCTCTATTTCAGAGCTGTTCATACTGTTCATGTTGTCATTTTTATATTGTATATAATGTATACCACCTACCTCAAGTACATAACACCTGCACATAATACTTATTTATTCCAGCATCCTTTGCACTATGCCCCATCACACTGTGTACATGTATGCGTGTATGTGTACCTGTATATCTCATCCACCTCCAACATGTACATAATAGTGATAATAATTTTACTCCTGCATTCTTTACACTCTTCTCATTGCACTATTGTCTCAATCTGTCTATATTGGTTTTGTTTATGGTGTATATATATGTGTTCTCTAAACTGTAGCCTGTGTGTGATTTTATTATTGTATTATTTTTGTATTATTTTATAAGTAAGCACATCGTGAGCAATGTATAATCCTGTGTCAAATTCCTCTTATGTGTACACATACCTGGCAAATAAAGCTGATTCTGATGATGTTCATTTTATAAATGATGGCCCCTTTTAGAGTAAAATAGATCGTAAAGCATCATATGCTTTAGGCTACCATGTGATTGAAAAATTGCTACCACGGTGACCTGTTATTGAGGGAGTCATGGGGGTCAGTGAGGCAAAAAGAAACAATCAGCTGATTGAATGCACCTGTGGCAAACAGACATGAAGTCAAAGGACTTCATGTCTACAGATGTCAGTACACTATTTTTAGAATATTTACAGCTCTTTGTTTTCAGACAGCTTTTTCCTTTGGAACTACACTTTCTCAACTTTAGAATTTCAGCATGTATAACCGCAACTTGGCTTTGCACTGTATAAAGGAAATTATATCTGACAGCAAGGTAAGTGTTATAAGACTGGACAGAACAGACCCAAACGCAACGCTCAGAGGGAAGGAGGTTCATTGAGTGTTTACAGAGGGGGCTAGGGAAGAGGTGATGGAGGAGAGGTGGATGCCAGGGGACGTGGACATGGAGGACCAAGGAGCAGGCGAGGCGCAGGCGGTGAGGTGAGGAGCAGGGGGAGCCGGGAGGGCGGCATGGAGGAAGCCTGTTGTGAGCGTGTTTTTAATGTGTTAAAATAAAATCATGTGTTTTTGAACTGCTTGGCTTTCCATACAACGCTTCTCCAAGGTCTAGACAATGTTATTTCTTTTCCCACCTGTTTTGCATCAAGTCCTGCCCTACTATGCTGTGATTGGCTAGCTAATTACTTCTAGGCATCCTTTTGATTGGAATGTATTTATTCAATGAATGTATTACACACATGTGAGAGGTTAGAATACTGACAACAAAACAGGCAAAATTATTTAAAATGAAAGCACATTATTTAAAATAACGTTTATTATTTTTCTTGGGAAAAGGTAAAGACTAGTATTAGTGTCATTGTGGTAAATTAAGTGATAAAATATTTCCTATTTCATAATAAATACTAACTAGAAGATTTATGCAATGAGTCACAGGCAAGGAGGCACCATGGATGTATTGTTAGAACAGGATACAGGACCCAGAGAACAGAAAGAGTCATAAATGACATTTTTTGCAGTTTGAGGTGCCATCTTAACCAGTTTTACAGACATCTCTTTTATAACGGTGGCTTTATTAGTAAGAAAAATAACAGATACTTATTATGGTGGAGCAGGAGTTAACTCAAGTAAATTAAATTTGTAGAGATCCCATATCATCTGCAGGGACGGGTACAGGATAGTCACATTCCAAAATGTCTCGGCAGAGGGCTCTCTAATTTTAGCAGGGGAAGGTTACCATACTGGGAGAGAGATTGGGAAGTGTGCAGAGCAGTCACATGACAGGCTTGGTGGTGAGCCAGCAAAAGAGACAGCCAGGTCACCTCTGAAGGACTCTTTCATTTGAGAATAGGGCATATGCATTGAGAAATGTTAGATATGCGAAGGCCTAATAATAAAATGTGGTAATCTATAAAAATACATATTGAGCTGCAGGAAAAAATAACATTCCTTAACTAATGTTTATAACATTCAGAAGATCGATGAAAGGGCAACCATTATTTTTTTTTTGTGCCTGAAATGCAGTTTTTTCCTGCACATGTAATGAGAGACTGTAATGCAGAATATGTTGGTGGTCAGAGAGGGACAGTGACAGTTCCATAATCTTTGACTTTCTACAGTGACCTCTGAACTTATACTATGTAGACATGCTGCCCACCTTCACAGACACAGTTAAAACTGCATTTCTCCTGAGTTTTAACAGTCACTCTCAGATGTCACCCTTTAAACCCCAACGCCAAATCTCTGTATTAAGTCCTCGTTCAGATTCATAATGTTAGGCCCAGTTGTGCTTTAAAGTTAGGAGAAAGGAGATTAGTTATTGGCCTGACACATTCAATCTTCACTCTCATCAATAAGCAAAGGTACTTGTTTTTTTTTATATCAAGAGTCACTTGCTCAGCTGCAGCTGCAATCAGGCTTTAATTTAGATCTGAGTGTGTAATGCTGTTATTACTGTCATCTTGGTGCTGCTGCTAGGTTTTTTCTTTTGTCTGATTATACAGCAGCAGAGACACATCTTAATTTGTTCATAGGAGTTTGGGATATAATTTGATGCTATATAAAGTACTTTCCCTGTGTTCTCAGATTGGTTACTGTGGATATAAAAAATAAAACCTAGTCTGGAGCCTAAAATGCTGTGCACCCTCTGCTGGACTCCTTTAGAAGGCACAGGACTGTGTTGGTGAGCCTACAGGGACCTCTGCTGGACGATTTGTCGGAATTTCATTTCAGACTTTGGCCTTCGTAATAAAATTCAGAAAACATTATGATATAGACACGCATTAAGCCCAACACAAGATGAAAGTCTACAATGCAGTGTGTGTGTGTGTGTGTGTGTGTGTGTGTGTGTGTGTGTGTGTGTGTGTGTGCGTGTGTTATGACAGAATACCATTACTTGGACATCAGCCATCATCATTAAACATCATCAATATCACTAGCTTCCAGTAAGTTTAAGGAGACATTTTAAGATTTTTGTACTTGTCTGTAAATGCCACGTACTACTTAGCTGAAAAAGATAGCAACAGATAGCCAACAAAGATGAACATCTTAAAAGCATCAACTGATGTTGCTTTTAAGATATTCATCTTTGATTTTTAAAGCTCACCTTTTTAACATTTTAAAATTGAACTTCTACTCAGTCTTGGAAAAATTAAATTGATAAAGATGACAAAGAGATAGGGTGATAATAATTGCTTTTGCTACTGTTATAATTTCATTTATTTTATTAATTTACTTCCCATTTAAATATATTTTAATTTTGTGAATGTTTTAACGTTAAATGTAATGCCATTTTTCTTTTGTAAAGCACTTTTAAAGCTTAATGCTTGAAAATATAAATTAGAAGCTCAGCTCATTCACAAGGAGAACCAATAGGATTTCTTCTATAGGTAGGCGGTACTTCCTGGTGGAAAGCTGCGTGTCATGTAGCTGTACCGAAATGTCAGTTGCTAACTGAGGGCATATCTTGTTGTTAGTTCGCATTAATTTTGTAGCTCATGCGAAAGAGACTGTAAACAGAAACAATTTGAGGACGCTGTAATCGGACAGGAAACGGTTTAATTCAGTAGTATAAACAAGGATTGGCGGGGGGGCAATGCAGAGCTTCACAGCGATAAGGTCGTTTGTTTTCAAGTATCCTAAAACTATTACTGTGGTCACAGTAACAGGTAAATTATGCACTCAATTGATCTTTGGAAGAATAAATGTTGTTTTAAACAGGGCAGCTCTTACAGTGCAGTCTGTGTGTGTCATTCACTCACCTATGCCAGTGATTGATATGGACACTGCAGTTTATTGGTTATTAATGGAGTGACCAGGCTTACATGCTTGTAAAATAGGAACAAAACTACAGTTTCATTATTTAAAATTCAAACCAAGTGTTTTGGGAAATAGTTTGTTCTTCCGATTCAGCTGCAGCATTCCCACAGACTTACTAGCCCATAGTTTAAATACACAATGTGAGCTTTCATTATAGTATAGTTGTACAAATGACTGATGCATTTAAATGATTGTTGTTTATGGTCACATGATGACAGCTTTATGTACTGTGTGTTATTAGTCTGGCTAATAGCATGGATGGATAGATAAATTAATTTGACGACAACAACAGAGGTCATTTCAAATCTGCAGTCACCCTGTCCTGACATACAATTAAACTGTCCCCCACCCTCCTGTGAGACACCAACCCCCCCCCTCCTCCTCTGGCTCTCAGGTTAACGGCTCTCACCACCCTGACGACTCCTCCTCTCCCCCTCCCCCACCTGTAACCTCTGTGTGCCTCACTGCTGACCAGTTGAGAAGACAGATGAGGAGACTCCACTCCAACAAGGCTGCAGGCCCTGACGGTGTCCGTCCCGGGGTGCTCAAAGCCTGTGCCCCCCAGCATTGTGGAGTCCTTCACCACGTCTTCAACCTGAGTCTGAGTCTCCGTAGGGTCCATGTGCTGTGGAAGACATTTTGGCTCGTTCCTGTGCCAAAGACGCCACGTCCCAGTGACTCCAAGGACTACAGACCTGTGGCACTGACCTCCCATGGTCAGCCCTTTTCTGGACCCACAGTTCGCCTACCAGCCCCGACTGGGAGTTGAGGACGCCATCATCTTCCTGTTCAACCGCATCTACGCCCACCTGGACAAGCCAGCGAGCACGGTGAGGGTTATGATTTTTGACTTCTCCAGTGCTTTCAACACCATCCAGGCCGGCCCTGCTGGGTGAGAAGCTGACAGCGATGCAGGTGGATGCCCCCCTTGTGTCCTGGATTGTTGACTACCTGACTGACAGACCACAGTATGTGCGCCTGCAACACTGTGTGTCAGACAGCGTCGTCAGCAACACTGGCGCCCTGCAGGGGACGGTCCTTTCTCCCTTCCTCTTCACCATCTACACCACAGACTTCAACTACCACACAAAGTCCTGTCACCTTCAGAAGTTTTCTGACGACTCTGCTGTGGTTGGATGTATCAGCAAGGGTGATGAGGCTGAGTACAGAGCTGTGTTGGGGGACTTGGTCACATGGTGTGAGCAGAACCATCTACAGCTCAACGTGACAAAGGAGCTGGTTGTGGATCTAAAGAGAGCAAAGTGACCCATGGATGGAAACAGTGACCCCTGTTTCCATCCAGGGGGTCCCTGTGGACATTGTGGAGGATTACAAATACCTGGGAGTGCACATGGACAATAAACTGGACTGGGCCAAGAACACTCAAGTCCTCTACAGGAAGGGCCAAAGCCGTCTCTATTTTCTGAGGAGGCTGAGTGCTATCCTGTTTGCTGTTGCATGCTGGGGCAGCAGGTTGAGGGTAGCGGACGCTAACAAACTGATCCGCAAGGCCAGTGAAGTTGTGGTGGTGGAGCTGGACTCTCTGTCGGTGGTGTCAGAGAGGAGGATGCTGTCCAAACTACATGTCATCTTGGACAATGCCTCCCACCCACTCCATGATGCGCTAATCAAACACAGGAGCACTTTCAGTGCAAGACTCATTCCCCCAAAATGCACCACAGGAAGTCATTCCTGCCTGTGGCCATCAAACTTTATAACTCCTCCCTTTAAGTGTCTGACACTTAGTCAGTTATTAAACTAGACCTCATTATCTATTTTCTGTTCAATATTACCTGTTTAATAATTAATGTGCTATATTCTCTGCTGCTATTTATTCACTAGTACTTTTGGTTCACCATAATAATGTAAATATTGTACATATCCACATACCTTTATATTTGTCTTTTATATTTTTATTTATACTATTATATTTATATACTCTTTATCGATCTACCTTTGACAAGTGTGCAATTGCGACAAAAGAATTTACCCTCGGGGATCAATAAAGTGATTCTGATAAAAACACAATAGAGCTAAAACTTTCATGATGGCCCTCTTAATAAATTTAAGTTAAAACACATGCAAAATCAAAACAAAAACACAAGACTTAAACACCAACAGTTGTCATAAACCCTAGTTACCTACCTGGTGATTTTAAAAAACAACAGAAAAAATAGCTACTTCTGATATTTGGGAGGCTGGAACCAGTTTCACAGCTGACTGAAACAGTTGATTATTATTAAAATTGTTGCCATTCTTTTTAATTAAAACCTTTTAGGATATGAAAGCATTGTACATTTAAGAATATTTTGGTACAAAAGAAAAAACTGTAGTCCTGTAAACAGTTTTCTCAGGTGTCTATGGACGGTGGAAAGGTATCATCGAGATTAATTAACGCTGTACTTTCTTACAGGAGTGGGCCTTTTTGGTGTGAAGAAATGGATGGCAGGTGGAGCGTGTCACAGCAAAGCCTCGTTGGATGGAAAGACTGTCTTGATCACTGGAGGCAACACTGGGATCGGCAAAGAAACTGCTGTTGATCTGGCTAGAAGGGGTTAGTGACTTATCTGGGTTTTATATTCTAGCCTTTAATGATCCAATTAGGGCCTGAGCACGAAACGTGTGAGGTCCCTATTGAAACTGAAGGGATTATTTTTCTTTTTTCTGGAAAGTAACCTCAATTTTGGGGGCCTAAACATACTCAAAAACTTACCAAACTTTGCACATAATTCAGACGCGGTGAAAAATGTCGTTTTTTATGGGTTTTGGACATGGGCGTGGCAAAATGGCTTGCTAGCGCCCCCTACAGAGCAGCCCCCGGACAAAGTTTTACCTATGTGTATGGAGAGGATGTTGTTGTAACTTCAGTGTACATGCTGACATCTGCACCAAACTTTACATGCTTGATAACAGTCCCGCCCCGAACACATCTACATGCCAATATTCACTCAAAGTCATAGCACCACCTGCTGGCAACAGGAAATGACACATTTTACACTATAATGAACTACTCCTAGCAGGTTGGACGTATCAACTTCAAAACGGTGGTGAAGTCCCACGCTTTGCCATGACACAGGAAGTTGTTGTAACTTGACTGTTCAAGCTCAGATCAGTACCATATTTTACATGTTTAATAAGAGTCCCGCCCTGAACACCTTTGTGCAGCGTAGAAGCACGTGGCAAATTCACAGCCACACCGGCAGAGCTCCAGAATCTGCAACGCAGCTACATCACACCTCGACACATTACACGTGCGAGGGCCCGCCCAACACTGCTTGCAGCTTTAATTTCATTTGAAATGTACAAGATTTGCTGCTGTGTTACAGGTGCGAGGGTCATTCTGGCCTGTAGAGACACGGACAGAGCTAATAAAGCTGCAGAGGACGTGAGAAAGAGGAGTGGAAATGAAAATGTTACTGTTAAGAAGTTGGACTTGGCTTCTCTACGGTCAGTACGACAATTAGCCAAAGATGTCTTAGCAAGTGAAGAGAGGCTGGACATTCTCATCAATAATGCAGGTAGATATATAAATGAATGAAAGTGCATGGTGGTTGCATTTACAGTTGGGAGGTGTTAAACAAATGTCCACTAATGTTCTGACTTTTAGGTGTTATGTGCTGTCCAAAATGGCAGACTGAAGATGGCTTTGAAATGCAGTTTGGCGTGAACCACCTGGGCCACTTCCTTTTAACAAACTGCCTTTTGGATCTCCTGAAGAAGTCGGCTCCAAGCCGCATCGTCAATGTCTCCAGTTTAGCTCATGAAAGAGGTGCAGTTTTTCTCTTTTCACTTCAAGAGATTTTATTTTCTCTCTCAAGAACGTCATCCTTTTAACTTTCATTTAATATGAAATACCATGTCCGCAAATAAGTGTGTATCGCTTTCCGTCAACAGGTCAAATCTATTTTGATGACCTATATCAAGAGAAAGATTACCACCCTTGGAAAAGCTACGCGCAAAGTAAACTAGCTAATGTCCTCTTCACAAGGGAGCTGGCTAACAGGCTACAAGGTATTGAAATACTTTGTATCTCACACCAGACATTATGCAGTAATTTAAAAACTGCCTATTGTGTGTCTACTGTATTGTTTTTCAGATAACAACTTAGATTGTGTGCTCTTGTGAATAGAATGAAAACATTAGATCTTATTTCTTGACATTTTGCAGGTACCGGAGTAACGACATACAGCCTCCACCCTGGAATAATCCGGACTGAGCTTGGCCGACACTTCTGGCCCACGATGCCCCTGTGGAAGAGAGTTGTCTATGCACCACTCAGGTTCCTCATCAAGTCTCCAAAAGAAGGGGCTCAAACCACCATCTACTGCGCTGTTATGGAAAGCTTGCAGAATGAAAGTGGACTCTACTACAGGTCAGTCAATGTATATCAGTAGACGGTTGCTTGAATTTTAATACGTGAGACAACCTCTATCAATTCAAAATGTCTCAATATATTGTGATATGGTAAATGGGTTTTTGCCACTTGGGGGCAGCAGAACGAGATGTAAAAATGACATTGACACATTATGGCCTTATAATGTTGGTGACAATGTGTTAGTAAACAATTGCCTATTTATCCAGCAGACACAGAGTAATATGAATATCCATGTTGGTCCACGTCACCTGATGAATGTTAGTCCAATATTCACTCTCCTATTTAACTCTGGTTTGCTCGCCTTAGAAAAATATCTGGCTTTTAAGCTGCTAAATGCTCCACTGTGTTCAGCAGCTAGTCGCTAACTTTGTCTGACTGCTGTTGGCGTACAATGTTTTGATCAGAGCTTTTCTGGTGAAATCAGCTGCTGCAGGTGGAAACCAAGTTGATGAGAGTGGAGCTGCGGGACAGAAAACCAGAACATGCATCTAAAGTAGATTAAAAAGTCCCCTTAGAGCTGAAGGGGTCTGCAGAGTTGGGGTTACTTTATCTGTGGGTTTGTAACCACAAGCGACCGCTTTAAAAATACACAGAGCATACAGTCATTTGATATTGATGATGTTAATATAAAAAAAATATTGATCGGTACAAATTTAATACTAGATTTTTGCACACAAATACTTTTCAAGACAGGACATCAAATCAGGTCATAAAACAGGACTCAGCTAAAGGCCCTTATCAAGTCAGTGGCTATTGTTCTTTGGTTATGATATTCCCACATTCTCATCCAATCAAATTACCACAAACTAATGGCCACACAGTTAACCTAGGGCTTTTGGGGCCAACGGGGATCCCAAGGCAGTGGCTTGCTTTGCCCGGCTGGTAATCCTGCTTTGGCAGAAGAGGTATTTCCTTCCATTTTGCAGATATTATCTGAACTCTGAACTGTTCTGCAAGGGAATAACTGTTTGAGTGTTGGCGCATGCGTTCATCTTGCACTGCTTGAATGAAAAACAAAAAAACTCACATTCCTTATACCTATTACACATACATTTTAATCTCGGCTGTCTGTAAATCTAAGAAAAAGTTAATCCTCACCAGAGTGAAGAAATACAAAATATTGATTCCCATCATTATTCACCATTACACTTATCCTGAATAATAACTTATTCTTTTGACTAAATCAGCACAGTAGGAACGGATCGAGTCACGTGTTTAACACTCAATTCTGCAACTGATTACAGCAACTGCACCCCTAAAACAGCAGCCCCTCAGGGTCTTGATGATGAAGCTGCCAAGAAGCTGTGGGATATGAGTGCCTCTATGGTTGGTCTGACATAATCACAGTGACATTTACGATGCCGTCATCATCATCATCACAGTACCAATTGACTGTCAAGTGGCCTGAGGAAGGTACTAATGAGAGGCTGAGCTCCTACCTTTTATTGAATTTTTTTTTCACCTGAATTTATTCAGGGGGTAATTCACTGAGGGCAGTACTCTTTTTTTTTTTTTATTTTTTTTTTTCTTCTTCAAGAACACACTGATCCCATTCACACAGTTGCACATTCTAAACCTGGAAGCTGCCCAGTACAACCACAGTCTGATCTGCTGGCCACTGAGCAGCTCCACTGGAGTTGGGGCTCAGGGGCACCTCAGTGGTGGAAATGAGGCAGGAGCCAGCTGGGTCTGAGGGATTGAACCGACCACCTTCTGGTCACAAGCTTGCACTACTTAATGTGACAAATGAGTAAACAAACAGAAAACACAAGAAATTCACAAGTGATAGACATTTATTCAGAATGTACAACAAACTACTTGCAAAAATACTATGGATTAAGGTTTCTTAAACAGAAGCAGTGCTTCACAAAGTTACATGGAAGCTGTATGATCTGCTTTTGATTGCCATTAGTGTGAAATGACATTTTAATTGAGAAGTTTCACCAATTTCTGTATTGACTAAGGGCTTGAATGTCATTTAACGTTACTTAATTTCATCCAACAAGAATTACATGTGCTTTGAAAGTTTTTGTTTGTTAACAGCAACATTTATAGTTTTTTCCCTCCTGGGCAATAAAGTGCTGTCATACATAGCCCGTTGTTTTACCTGTATCTTAAGGCATGTTTTTTGAGTTTGTGTGTTTGAGTCTTCATTTTTTCCATGTGAGACCAACAATATGAAATAAAACACACTTTGGTTACATCATCATGAATTGAAAATGTTCCTAATACATCAAATGTATGTGTCCACTTTTTTAGGTTTCTTTATCTTGAAGGCACTTTGTACAAATTTGCTACAAACAGTCAAAATTCATCTTACTCAAAGCTACATCTCAGACATGTGCATCACTTTGTTCTCTCCCAAAGAACGCCCATTAATGGTGCTAATTACAAATGCACAAAGTGCAACCAAGAGGCCTGCTGGCTACAAATGGACCCTGTATGTTCCCTACACATTACATCATATAAGAGAGCTAGTTCAGAGGAAAAGTACCATGTCTTGGCAATTACATTCAAAACTGTAATACATGTACAGCAGATGTTGTGAAGAAAAGAGAATAATCCTTAAGGTTGGGTGTAACACAGGGAGGAAATCTATCTATATTGCTCAGTTTCAATATATATGTGTATATATATTTTCATAAATTCTACATTGTTCAACATCTAGATGGCTGCGAGTCTACACAGCTGTACCTATGGATGTACTTCCTGACAATTTATGGTGATTTCTTCTCCCACAATATTTGCTGCATAAACACCATCACTAACTAATGAGCCAGCTCTTCAAAATCAGAAAGCTGTTTCATCTGCTCCACTTGCATAGAGTGCCTCCTCACAAGTTTCTTCTTGGACTTGAGGCCGCCTCTCTTTGGTGTGTTTGGTGCTACTGGAGCTATAGACCTAATACCTGTGGCCAGAGGTGACGAGGGCTTGCTACTAGCCCCGATATCAGGAATGGGAGGGTTCAGGTTGATGTTGAGAGGGGGCAGGTGGCCGGGCCTGGTGTGGGAGATGTGGTCCAGCAGCAACGTGCCCGAGCCTCTCCTCTCCAGGAGGCCAGGTGCACGCCTGCGTGCTGTGCTGGGAGAGGATGGGCTGGCGTTGCTGTCTAGAGATTCTCTGGAACTGGTCAGCATCGCAAGTGGAGAAGTGTTGAGTTTCCTCCGCTCCACTGGGACCTTAGGAGAGTCTAACATGGCAGAGTCTGAATAGAGCTGTGAGTCTGAGTCATAGTGATCATTCCCCAGACGTCTCCTATGCATTGTGTCTCTCAGACTGACGAGTCCACTGCTGCAGCTGCTGCTCTCCTGCTCTGTGGGCACAGTACTGCGCCGTGCCAGCGGCTGGTGCTGGCCAAGAGATCTGTCGTATGATGCTTTGGATGTTGGAGGAACTGACAGTGAAGTTGTCATTTTGCAGGGTTGATCACCCACCAGTGGGAATAAGCTGTCCTTCCCATCCACACTATTATGTCTAGATAAAGCTGACCTTTTACTCAGAGAGAGTCCGTTCACCCCTGCAACAACATCCTCATCAGGGCTGGCTTTCTTATTCTCCTCATGGGTGGCAGCTGCAGCCAGGACCGAGGGAGCAATCAGCCCCCAAGGTTCTGACTGAAGCCTTTTCAGCTGAGGCAAACGTGCGCGTTTTGGGTTTACGTGTCGGCGTGTTGGAGACGTGGGCCCGTTGGTGAGCTTCGAAGCTAAACTAGACGTTTTCAGCTTTGTCTGGAAATTGAAGACTGTATTTTGTTGCTCTTGCTCAGGTGTGGGAGATGCAGTCACATCAATATCAGACGGAGAGGTGCAGTATGATGGGGAGGACCTCTCATCCAACTCTGGTGATGGGGGGACATTTAGGTACTGTTTGGTCGTTTTAGTGCCGGATGGCGACTTGTCTGTGGTGATTATGATGACCTCTTTGCCTTTAGCTTTACATGCATCCAGGAGCAGTTTTAGGGTCTCCTTATCATCTGCGTTTATGGCGTAGACCAGGGCTGAGGCCCCGCTCCTGTCCTCCAGACTGGGATCAGCTCCATTGCCTAGCAGGTGATCCACTACTTCATGTCCAGCCCTGTGGATGCAGGCGTGCATTAGAGCTGTCCTACCTGCTTTGTCCTGTATGTTGGGGTCCGCCTGGTTGTCCAGCAAATACTTCACCAACTTCGACTTGCTGACACTCTGCTGGTCAGTGTGTTTGGACATGCAGGCCACCATGAGTGGTGTCTCTCCACGTTCATTGCTCTCATTGATATACGCACCTCCTTCCAACAGGAGCCTGGTGAGTCTCAAGCGTCTGAGCCACACTGCCTTCAGAAGTGAGTTTCCATCTGTCCGCAGCTCCAATATATCTGCCATCTCCCAGCCAATCACAGATCTTCTCAGTGTTGAACTTACAGCTCACAGCCCTTTGAACAAATAATTGAAATAATTCAGCTTACATTGCAAAATCATTATAATTTAAGACTCAGTTGTTCGTTCCTCTGTTTTCCTAAAGCATCATCACCACCAGCAGGTGGCAGTCTGTTACAAATTAAATGTTATAAATACAACTTACAGGAAATATATTCTATGGATAATAATTCAGATGAAGGTATGGTGTAAACAAAAAAAAAAGTCGAGAGTGATCATGACCAAAAATCATGTCCACGCAGGAGACAGCAGCACCTGTTAGATTCACACACAAATCCAGCTGTGATATTTGGATATGAAAATCAAAGTTTATCTTGTTATCTCTGATGACAAGACAGCAGCTTGCTTCTGTCTTGTTACATCATATTGATGGAGGCGACGAGGAACGTCGAACAAAAGCAGCACCAACCTATAGGCTAAGTGCGCAAGAACACCAGCCTTGTTCATCTTTTTTAAATATGTCTAAGAGACTGTAAGTCAACTTGATTGTTTTGATATCTAAAATTTAAATAGCGACAACACAGACATCTATTTAGACAGTCGACATTAATTAGCAGGGCACTGTGATGTGTAAGAGTCGCTGTC